GATAGATAGATAGATAGATAGATAGATAGATAGATAGATAGATAGATAGATAGATCGGAAGCCCATCCCCTACACGATCTATTGTGTTGATATAGTATCTGTAAAAAGCACCAAGATAATAAATGTAATAATAAAAATAATAATAAACTATATATTATACCACTTTCCCCTCGCACATAGTGACCGTTTTCATGTCCAGGTTTTTGTCTCGACTTAAGTACATAATAGAAATAACAATTACTGTTATAGATACACTTTTTAAAAAAAGAAAAAAAAATGAGAGGAAAAAAAAAAGCAAAAGAAAAAAGAAGAGTAATACCGTTCCTGTTTTCCAGAATGTGGCCCCGGCCGATGGGGAAAAGACTGCGCTCAATTCTGCAGCCTCAATTGCTTCAACGGAACGTGCGACCGAGTGACAGGGGAGTGTGTGGGCGGATGTACTCGGGGCTTCCTGCCTCCTAACTGTGAAGACGGTAAGTGGTAGAGAGGTATGTTGGACCCGAGTCCGAATCCCGGAAAATGTGAAACTCGAGTGAGTACTCGTTTGCTCGAGTCTTCGAGCAGCCGAATCCTGAACACAGGCCCAATGTATTAATTGCTGGTGCCTAGACTAAATTATACCAATTAATTGATAATAACAATAATAAAAAGGGAAGAAAAATAAAGCAATTGTTAAAACAACAAGCAAAAGTATATATTACAATTATTGAGATGGTTTGAATAGTGCACATAGAAAAAGAAGCCAAAGAAATAGAAATGCAATGTTGCTACCAACAAAACCAATGGAACTTGTAAAATGTTTGTCTCTACTGAAAGCTCCCACCGGGTTTTTTAAACAAAAGTAAGGCTCCAGGGTTCTGGGGGTATAATTCGTAGTACCAGTAGCTGCCATCTCCACTGAACAAAACATTTTTTGTGTAGCACCGTGGGGAAATCAGGCGCTGGGCAATACATGTACATCATCATCATCATCATCATAATCATCATCATCATCATCATCATCATCATCATCATCATCATCATCATCATCATCATCATCATCATCATCATC